AATTTTCTAGGCAGTTAAAAAATTAAACTGTATCTGCATATGGTGTCACAAAGTCTCATGGGAGGGGCTGCTCAAATGCTGAGAAGCAAAGCACTCCATCAGTGTAGGTTTCTCAAGGTATGCTCCAACTTCCTGGTTCCCTTCCTAAAGTGCTTCACCCAGTTTCTTCCACTGGCTCCTTAAAACATGTTCAGGCCCTTCACACCTTTTAATCCTGAGTAAAGGCAGCAGACTCTCCACTGCAGTTCACATTATCTGATGCCAGCAGTATAATACAGCCATTTTCACAGTTCACATAACAATATAAAATGAACCAAACCAAAAATCCAAGTGCATTTCTGCTTCTGCAAGCAAATTCAGCAGAAAGATTTAAAACAGCTTAATGAAATAAAATGGTTTCTGACTTCCATCCATCTGTGTTTAAAAACTCTATAAAATACATGAGGAGGGAAATCAACAGAAAGGATATGAATGTACCAAAATTTTAATTGCTGCTCTTCTGATTGGATGGAAAGGACTAAGTATATACAAGGCAGGAGTGGCACTAAACTCGAAAGATTGTCTTCCCTTTGTTCAGTACTATAAATGTCTGGAAAACAAAATAGAAAATGAGAACGTTTAGTATTTTCATTCATGCCCAGCTTTTCCCAGCCCACGTCCCGTTGTGAAGCTCCTGACAGGATCCACACTTCTTCCCCACTCCCCTCAAAACCCCCAAATTCCTTTTCACTTAGTGAAGAGTTTTGTTCAAGACCCTCCCAGCAGACCTATTGCCTGTCCTATTGCAATATCCCAACTACTTTTCATTCCTCAGTCCTTACAGGGTCCTGTGCCATCACCTCCATCACAAGGCTGGCAGGAGAGTGGAATCCCCTTTAAAAATAAAAAATTGCACAGTGACTAGAATGTGGTTGAGGGACTTTTATGATGTGCTCTTCCCAAATGCCAGAGACCTTAATACGTTGTTACTCCATTTTCTCTACCTCGATTCCTTTATTACTCTCAGTCGATGTTTTTGTCTCACCAAGTAAGCAGCTTCATGAGGCACAGCTCCACAGCAGGATCTGACCCTGGCACTGAGGAACTGTCATTGTACTCAAGTTAATATGGGCAGAGGAAACCAATACTGTGAGTTACCTTAAATCCAAAGTAATGCTGAATGGATGCTTGTCCAACTTACAGAGCTTTGCAAATGCCCCAGCATTCACTGAGTAACTCCTATGCACTCAGAGACAGGATCAAGACACCCAATAGACAAACTCTAACCAATTCACCCACCTGGAGTCTAAGACCTTCATGACACTAAAATTGCAAATCTGTATCCTGCTGCTTGTGCCTGGGGATAGCAGGCAAATTAAAGGTAAATTAATTCTGGACCTTCCAGGTAAGTAATCTATTTGTCTTTATCAATTTAACTTTTATTCTGTAGTTCTTGTACCTTTTTCTACACTGTTTTAATAGACAAAGCATTGTGGTCATACTAATTCACTGATTACGGGAAATAGCCTAGCCCAAAATCAGGAACATCAGTACCCGAAAGAACTAGAAGCTACCTAAAAATACACTGTACTTCCAAGCCTTATTTTGTCCCCAGTTTTTTGAAATGTTTAGAAAGGGGAATGACCTGTAGTAAGCAACCAGCTCAGCTTTGCTGTCAACAGCCTTTTGACAGAAGCTGCGTGTGCTGTTGTGGCTTTGTTCCAGCCTACACGTGATTCCTCATCAGGTGATGCTTGCTTTGGGACGAAGCTTACGCTTCTGCAGAGAGCCAGCACACTGCACATGCTACTCGCATCTCCCTTCAGCTCTGTTTTGGTCATCTTAAACAGTGCTGAACTCTCCTTTGGAAGGAACAAAACGGGTGCTCTCCAGGAATGGTTGTGGAGGTGCCTCCTGCTCTTGTGCAGAGTGCTAGCACAAGACTGAAGTCACCCAGAAGCCCTTAACATTAAGGGGCTTAAGTGATAAACAACATGACCTGTGAAGAGTCAAGAGTCATGCAGAAAACAAGATAGGGTAGATAAAAACCTCTGGCTTAATTTAACTCGGCTACTGCTCTGCTCTTTTCAGACACTGTATGTTCATACTCACAGTTATCTGAAAACACCAAAGTTTTAATTATGCTTTTTATCCCTCTTTGCCCTCACACTTGGATGTTTTGTGGGATTCCTGCTCATGCTGAAACTGATCCTTAGTCTGGAAGAAAACGTTTTTACTGGCTGTAGAAAGATAAAAAACGGAGAGCTCAAAACAGAGCAAAGCAAAGCAGCATGATGGCTGGCTGGTGCTCACCTTACGATCACTGTAGAAAGGGTCAAGGTCCTCCAAAGGCTCTGCAATGAGCTCTGGAGGAACAGTCCCATAGATATCAGGCAGCTTCTTGCAAGCTTGCAAATCAAATTGAGGCTGAGGTTTCTCGTCTTCACCCAGCTGCTCTCTGTATTCCTGCTTTGCATTCCTTGCGAGCTTCTCCGCAATTCGTTTCTCAATAGCAGCCAAGGATTCAGGCGTGAACCGGTGGAAGCTGTTAGTACCCGGTGGTAACAAGAAGTCAGCCATCTTTTCATCCTGCTTTGTCTTTTCTGGTCTTTACTCCTAGTAGTGGAAACAGCTGAAACGAAAAGTACCACAGGTTAGTGACAAGAGCAAAGCAAGAAGAACAAAGCCATCAAAATGACACAAAATAACCCAAACAACTTGCAGACTCTGTATTATCAGGAAAACATCTATTTTGGTGTGGTTAGTAGAACATCAAGGAAGATAGAAATGATCGAAACTGTAATTTCAATTAGGAATCACTCACAATCAGAGCTAAAAAGACTTTGTAGATAGGCTGTGGAGTATTACGGTTTTCAGGCACTTGGGATCCTAAATCCAAACTAAGGAGTAACTTAGATTCATACAAGATTAAGTTTCATAGAAAGCCACACAGATTTGGATTCCTAACTCATTTTTGAAAATGCAGCTCTGGGAGTGGATGAACAATGTGCCTAAGATGACTGCAGGGCAGATTTAAATCAGCCGATCTCTGGCCACATGATGCAAACTCTAAAAATGCCCCAGCTGTTGTATTCCAAATTTAAAGAGTGAAGGTCAAATACACATTCTTAAATCACACAGAAATTCTCCATAATCTCTGTTTTAGGGTTTTATAACATTATTTTTATTTTCCTTGGGTTAGCAAATCCCATTTTCAAAACATCCAACAAGACTTTTGAGCATTTTCTTCTCCTCACACCCTACAATCCGAAGGATGCTAGAATGTGCTTGCCAAACCCTAGGACTGTCATTAGTGCTCTCCAAGCTGAATATCCACTGCTACCAGTTCATGAATCTGAAAACCAGGCTCCATCCATACCCAATCTTGAGAATAACCCATATGAATTGTGTCCCTTCAATTTACATGAATTAACATTCCCATCAGAATTAAAAAGCAGAATGGAAGTGTTATATGAAGCATCCCATCAACCCAAGATGATCAGTTCACTGACGCAGTCTTTTGCAATTTATTGGGTATTGGATGGAAGAGGAGAAACACCTGGTTTTCAGATATTTGAACTGGTAGCAGTGGATATTCAGCTTGGAGAGCACTAATGACTTATATAGTCCTATGGGTTGGTGGAAGCACATTCTAGCATCCTGGAAAAAAAACATAATGTTGTGAAAACCCTAAAACAGAGATTATGGAGAATTTGTTGTGTGATTTAAGAATGTGTATTGCTGACCTTCACTCTTTAAATTTGGAATACAACAGCTGGGGCATTTTCTGTGTGATTTAAGAGTTTGCATCATGTGGCCAGAGATTTCGGCTGATTTTAAATTTGCATCATGTGGCCAGAGATGTGTAACCTCACTCTTTTAAATCTGCCCTGCAGTCATCTTAGGCACATTGTTCATCCACTCCCAGAGCTGCATTTTCAAAAATGAGTTAGGAATCCAAATCTGTGTGGCTTTCTATGAAACTTAATCTTGTATGAATCTAAGTTACTCCTTAGTTTGGATTTAGGATCCCAAGTGCCTGAAAACCGTAATACTCCACAGCCTATCTACAAAGTCTTTTTAGCTCTGATTGTGAGTGATTCCTAATTGAAATTACAGTTTCGATCATTTCTATCTTCCTTGATGTTCTACTAACCACACCAAAATAGATGTTTTCCTGATAATACAGAGTCTGCAAGTTGTTTGGGTTATTTTGTGTCATTTTGATGGCTTTGTTCTTCTTGCTTTGCTCTTGTCACTAACCTGTGGTACTTTTCGTTTCAGCTGTTTCCACTACTAGGAGTAAAGACCAGAAAAGACAAAGCAGGATGAAAAGATGGCTGACTTCTTGTTACCACCGGGTACTAACAGCTTCCACCGGTTCACGCCTGAATCCTTGGCTGCTATTGAGAAACGAATTGCGGAGAAGCTCGCAAGGAATGCAAAGCAGGAATACAGAGAGCAGCTGGGTGAAGACGAGAAACCTCAGCCTCAATTTGATTTGCAAGCTTGCAAGAAGCTGCCTGATATCTATGGGACTGTTCCTCCAGAGCTCATTGCAGAGCCTTTGGAGGACCTTGACCCTTTCTACAGTGATCGTAAGGTGAGCACCAGCCAGCCATCATGCTGCTTTGCTTTGCTCTGTTTTGAGCTCTCCGTTTTTTATCTTTCTACAGCCAGTAAAAACGTTTTCTTCCAGACTAAGGATCAGTTTCAGCATGAGCAGGAATCCCACAAAACATCCAAGTGTGAGGGCAAAGAGGGATAAAAAGCATAATTAAAACTTTGGTGTTTTCAGATAACTGTGAGTATGAACATACAGTGTCTGAAAAGAGCAGAGCAGTAGCCGAGTTAAATTAAGCCAGAGGTTTTTATCTACCCTATCTTGTTTTCTGCATGACTCTTGACTCTTCACAGGTCATGTTGTTTATCACTTAAGCCCCTTAATGTTAAGGGCTTCTGGGTGACTTCAGTCTTGTGCTAGCACTCTGCACAAGAGCAGGAGGCACCTCCACAACCATTCCTGGAGAGCACCCGTTTTGTTCCTTCCAAAGGATAGTTCAGCACTGTTTAAGATGACCAAAACAGAGCTGAAGGGAGATGCGAGTAGCATGTGCAGTGTGCTGGCTCTCTGCAGAAGCGTAAGCTTCGTCCCAAAGCAAGCATCACCTGATGAGGAATCACGTGTAGGCTGGAACAAAGCCACAACAGCACACGCAGCTTCTGTCAAAAGGCTGTTGACAGCAAAGCTGAGCTGGTTGCTTACTACAGGTCATTCCCCTTTCTAAACATTTCAAAAAACTGGGGACAAAATAAGGCTTGGAAGTACAGTGTATTTTTAGGTAGCTTCTAGTTCTTTCGGGTACTGATGTTCCTGATTTTGGGCTAGGCTATTTCCCGTAATCAGTGAATTAGTATGACCACAATGCTTTGTCTATTAAAACAGTGTAGAAAAAGGTACAAGAACTACAGAATAAAAGTTAAATTGATAAAGACAAATAGATTACTTACCTGGAAGGTCCAGAATTAATTTACCTTTAATTTGCCTGCTATCCCCAGGCACAAGCAGCAGGATACAGATTTGCAATTTTAGTGTCATGAAGGTCTTAGACTCCAGGTGGGTGAATTGGTTAGAGTTTGTCTATTGGGTGTCTTGATCCTGTCTCTGAGTGCATAGGAGTTACTCAGTGAATGCTGGGGCATTTGCAAAGCTCTGTAAGTTGGACAAGCATCCATTCAGCATTACTTTGGATTTAAGGTAACTCACAGTATTGGTTTCCTCTGCCCATATTAACTTGAGTACAATGACAGTTCCTCAGTGCCAGGGTCAGATCCTGCTGTGGAGCTGTGCCTCATGAAGCTGCTTACTTGGTGAGACAAAAACATCGACTGAGAGTAATAAAGGAATCGAGGTAGAGAAAATGGAGTAACAACGTATTAAGGTCTCTGGCATTTGGGAAGAGCACATCATAAAAGTCCCTCAACCACATTCTAGTCACTGTGCAATTTTTTATTTTTAAAGGGGATTCCACTCTCCTGCCAGCCTTGTGATGGAGGTGATGGCACAGGACCCTGTAAGGACTGAAGGAATGAAAAGTAGTTGGGATATTGCAATAGGACAGGCAATAGGTCTGCTGGGAGGGTCTTGAACAAAACTCTTCACTAAGTGAAAAGGAATTTGGGGGTTTTGAGGGGAGTGGGGAAGAAGTGTGGGATCCTGTCAGGAGCTTCACAACGGGACGTGGGCTGGGAAAAGCTGGGCATGAATGAAAATACTAAACGTTCTCATTTTCTATTTTGTTTTCCAGACATTTATAGTACTGAACAAAGGGAAGACAATCTTTCGATTTAGTGCCACTCCTGCCTTGTATATACTTAGTCCTTTCCATCCAATCAGAAGAGCAGCAATTAAAATTTTGGTACATTCATATCCTTTCTGTTGATTTCCCTCCTCATGTATTTTATAGAGTTTTTAAACACAGATGGATGGAAGTCAGAAACCATTTTATTTCATTAAGCTGTTTTAAATCTTTCTGCTGAATTTGCTTGCAGAAGCAGAAATGCACTTGGATTTTTGGTTTGGTTCATTTTATATTGTTATGTGAACTGTGAAAATGGCTGTATTATACTGCTGGCATCAGATAATGTGAACTGCAGTGGAGAGTCTGCTGCCTTTACTCAGGATTAAAAGGTGTGAAGGGCCTGAACATGTTTTAAGGAGCCAGTGGAAGAAACTGGGTGAAGCACTTTAGGAAGGGAACCAGGAAGTTGGAGCATACCTTGAGAAACCTACACTGATGGAGTGCTTTGCTTCTCAGCATTTGAGCAGCCTCTCCCATGAGACTTTGTGACACCATATGCAGATACAGTTTAATTTTGAACTGCCTCAGAAATTAATTATTTTGATCTCCTGAAACAAAACATTTTTTAAATAGTGTTTTGTTGGGGTTTTCTGTGGGTTTTTTTGTTTGTTTTGTTTTTTTTTGGTTTTTTTTTGCTTGTTGAAACGTGTTATACAGCTAGGAATGAAAGGACAGGCTTGCCTGATGGACCTTTCAGTGGAAGGTTGATGCCTGATTTCCCTTAGCTCTACTTCTGAAGTCATGCAAGATATGTTGCAGTGGTTGGTTTTCACTTGGGTTTTAACCACTGACACAGAAACATTATATTCTGAACATAGTCACATCTCTCTGGAAGACCAAATGGACCCAAATGTTCAGCTTTGTGTGAGCATTACTAAAACTGCACCTTTTTTCAGGAGTTGCCTTTTTTCTCTATGGTGCACATGGGAGACCTGGCAGTGGTAATTCAGACTTCACATGCAGCTGTGATGATCATGTGATGTTTTAGTGACAAAAATCCCTCATCTGTAATGCTTATGTCTGCCGCAGAGAACTAATAAATACAAAGCAGGTAGTGTTTTAGAATCATTGGTTTGTTATCAAATTTCGGGGGGGGGGGGGGGGGAAATAAACCAAACAAACACACCCTACCCCCCCGAAAAAAAAAATCCAGAAAGAAACCAGATTCGCAGTAGTTTTCCATATAGTGAGGAAAAAAAAAAAAGTGCAAATATAGATAATCTAGCAAGAGGAAAAATAGGCAAAGCTTCTAGTTACAATAAGTCTAT